GCTCAGCATAGAGAGGATGAGAGGGGTTGTCCCTCATGGTTTTCAGATTCCACAGTTGTGAATTAATTTGGAGCATTATAGCCTAAATTGTTATCATTAATTACTAGAGCGATGGTGGTCTACACTGTCATCATTTAGAGTGTTATTTTATAGTGTAAAGTTAGGATCACAGTGTTAAAACTCTACAGCTCTGAGTGTGTGTGCTCCTCTCTGTATCTAACTGCCCAGGCACATGTGTGTGTGTGAGCAAGTTCGTGTGCTTTGGGAGAAAAGGGAGGGAGCACAGTGAGATATCATCAAAAACACCTGCAAAGTAAAATATAGAAGCAGATTTTGTGCAAATTGTATAACAAAATATACATCAATACAGTCCATCACAGTAAGAATGTCCATGATCAAGCAGAGTGCATGCAGACGACACAGAGGAGGAGCAGGCAGTCAGGGAAAAAACAGATTCAGGTGCAGCAGGAAAGAGAGCCAAGAGATGATGTGAAGCCAACAAACAGAGCTATAAAAGGAGGTGAAAGTCAGTCGTTACATGGTTTTCATGTGGGTTAGGGTCTCTGTTCTGGTAACAGAATGGGGCTCTATTTTGCACCGATCTCTGACACACTCCGGTGGAACTTTTGTATTCTGATTGGTGTCTGTTTTTGTTGATAATAAAAATGTTGGTAAATGTTCAAGCTTTCTTATCTGGCCCAAGTCTTGAATTTTTACACGACATTACCACCTATTATGAAATAGCAACATGGGCAAAGTCTCTCATGCTGATATGTAAATGTTTATGCTTGAAGTTTCAACCAGCGGCCTACTCCTTCAACCAACCTGTTTTTAATGGCTCCTCATTATGATATGAAGCATCTAATGTTGTCCCAGACTCCTCTAACTGTCTACAGAGACTAAAGGACTGACAGAAGCATGAGACAGATGTTATTTATTATTATTTAAGTGCTTTAAGTGCTAAAACATGTAATTTACCTAAACACATGATGTTAAAAACACAAAATTTTTTATTATTTTCCCCTCAGAAGTCAGCACATTGAGAAGTCAGTTCTCACACTACTACAGGTACGTTATTGGTGGCTAAGAGGCCTAAGCAGAGGAGAGTTTTTGGAATATTGAAATTGCTAATCAACAAAAGAAAGGAGCTGGCCTAGGATGTGCACTGCCCAGGCCAGAGGGTGATTTAAAGATCAGATTAGACCTCTGTGAGTGTGTGTGTGTGTTAAAAATATTAACAATTAAAACGAATCAATTAAACAGTAAATGTATGTGTGTGTATTGTGGTGTCTGAACAATAATGCTGCGATGATGTGTTGAGAAGAAATCCCCTTGACACTGTTCTTGATCATAAGAGTTTATTACATCAAGGAGTTCAGCATCAATTACAAGCTCTGCAGCAGCTTGGAGAGTGACCCAGCCCGATGGCCACTCTGTACACAGCTTATATAGGACCTGTTTAGGTATCTGTTAGACACCATAGAAGGGTCAGAGTCCGCAAAATAGAGCTCCTACCCATAGAAGAGTACAGTACAAAACAAGGGGTCAGAGGTCAATTCCATAGGAGGGTTCACTGAACCTCTTTCCACCTGCTACAGTGCTATTTTAAACTTTTATGCGTCAAATGCACATATATTGTACACCACAGTATATTCACATCGACCATTTTGCACAGAATGGGGCCTGTGTTTCAACACGTGAGAGAGGGGAGACTGAAACTGCAGGATCTCTGACTGCAAGAGGATATTACTCATGTGTGAACTGATAGAGGCCTAAGAAGCCAACACAATGCCTAACAGTAATGTAACTGCCTAACATGGTACACTCAGGGACAATATAACGTTAATTCAGCAGTTTTTGCACCAACATTTCATTTGTGGTAATTGTGAGTTTGCAGATTTGTTTTGTGATTACGAGACAATAGTTCTGAATGGCCTGAATAATAATAATGTAGCCTAATTTAACTTTAAATCTAATTCAGTTTAATCAAACATAAAGTTTATATCACTGCAAGCTGCTAAAATATCTCTCTGAAGCTGTTAATGAATGCTGCAGAGTCGTTTTCCTCATTGCAATTCAGAGCTGGTCCTTTAAGGCTCTGCAGCACACAGTTTGAATATTGACCAATCAAAGTCCTTGTCCCGCCTGCTTCATTTGCATGCAGTCTACTAGTAGTACTAGTACTACTAGTAGGCGCTAAAAAGTCTACTAGTACTACTAGTAAGCGCAAAAATTTCTACTAGTACTACTAGTAGACGTTTTTTGCGCTTACTAGTAGTACTAGTAGACATTTTGGCGCCTACTAGTAGTACTAGTAAGCGCAAAAATGGCCACTAGTAGTACTAGTAGACGTTTTTTGACCTTACTAGTACTACTAGTAGGCGCTAAAAAGTCTACTAGTACTACTAGTAAGCGCAAAAAAGGCCACTAGTACTACTAGTAAGCACATTTTGACCTTACTAGTAGTACTAGTAGGCGCTAAAATGTCTACTAGTAGTACTAGTAAGCGCCAAAATGGCCACTAGTACTACTAGTAAGCACATTTTTGCCTTACTAGTAGTACTAGTAGGCGCCAAAATGGCTTTTACTAGTAAGCCATTTTGCCTTACTAGTAAGCCAAAATGGCGTACTAGTACTACTAGTAAGCGCTATGGCGCCTACTAGTAGTACTAGTACGGTCAAAAACACCTCTACTAGTAGTACTAGTGCGCAATTTTGGCTTACTAGTAAGGCAAAATGGCTTACTAGTAAAAGCCATTTTGGCGCCTACTAGTACTACTAGTAACGTCAAAATGTGTCTACTAGTACTACTAGTGGCCATTTTTGCGCTTACTAGTACTACTAGTAGACTTTTTAGCGCCTACTAGTACTACTAGTAAGGTCAAAATGTGTCTACTAGTAGTACTAGTAGACGTTTTGGCTCTTACTAGTACTACTAGTAGACATTTTTGCGCCTACTAGTAGTACTAGTAAGGTCAAAAAACGTCTACTAGTAGTACTAGTAAACATTTTACACTATATTTAAAGGCAAAATGAATGAAAATGTGCTTACTAGTATTACTAGTAGACATTTTAGGTCTACTAGTACTACTAGTAAGCGCCAAAATGTCTACTAGTACTACTAGTAAGGCAAAAATGTGCTTACTAGTAGTACTAGTGACAATTTTTGCGTCTACTAGTAGTACTAGTAGGCATTTTGGTGCTTACTAGTAGTACTAGTAAGGCGAAAAAGTGCTTACTAGTAGTACTAGTAGCCATTTTTGCGCTTACTAGTAGTACTAGTGACCATTTTAGCGCTTACTAGTAGTACTAGTAGGCCATTTTGGCTTACTAGTAAGGCAAAATGGCTTACTAGTAAGAGCCAAAAACCGCGCACTAGTAGGATATCGAATAAATGCTCAAACGGCTTTCCATAAGCACATTTTCGCCTTACTAGTACTACTAGTAGGTGCTAAAATGTCTACTAGTAGTACTAGTAAGACATAAAATGTCTACTAGTAGTACTAGTAGACACATTTGACCTTACTAGTACTACTAGTAGACATTTTTGCGCTTACTAGTAGTACTAGTAGACTTTTTAGCGCCTACTAGTACTACTAGTAAGCACATTTTGACCTTACTAGTACTACTAGTAGGCGCTAAAGTGTCTACTAGTAGTACTAGTAAGAGCTAAAATGGTCTACTAGTAGTACTAGTTGCACTAAATGCAAATCATGGAACCTTCCTATTGGCTGGCCAGTTTGAATTTCCTGCCGCCAAAATTTAACCCTTTAAAGCCTGATCAATTTTCAGTGTTGTTAACTGCCAGCTCTTTGCTTAATATATGCAGAATAAAGTCTGAAAATGCATATTTACATCAATGTTTTATCAAAAGAAATACTGGGAGAGGAAGTATCCACTCTGTGATTCAAAATAAATGCCTTTTAAAGATGTAATTATTTATTTACATTCACATACAGCTGAACAATGAGCAGGCCTTCAGCAGAAAAATAAACTACCAGGTTCACTTTTATCAAAGTTTATTATGAAATAGCAACATTGGCACAGTCTTTCATGTTGATGTTTATATAACCATAAGTAATGTGTATGGATCTGTTTTTAATGGCTCATCGTTATGATTTACAGCATATAATGTTGACCCAGACTCCTCTAGCTGTCTACTGAATGACTAACACACCCATGAGACACTAGCTCTACCAATATAAGGTCCTGAAGGAATATTATAACATTGCATGTCATGGTGACCTCAGTTGCATCCAAAACAACCACACAAATGTGTGTAAAATGTTTCTGCTTACACATATATGTTTAATACTGCTAAAACAGGCTGGGGTCAATCTGACCCCAAAGAACACCGATGGTACAAATGTGTAGAGGACATTAAAAACATATCATCATGTTCATTTTGTGTTTACCCAGTTGTACAGATTATACCCCCCCCCTAAATATGGAGCAACAAAAATTATGACAGAATTTGACACATTGAATGGTGTCAAATTGCAATCTGCAAACAGGGTTTCTCTGTGACCTAACCTGTTCACTTACAGGTTTTCTTCAACAGACCCAGAGTTTCTCTCTTACAGAGCCAGACATGCTGTTTCATTGCATCATTCAGTCCCTATCAAAGCTCACCCAAAGACTATCTAAGGTTTTTCTGTGAGCAGCAGTTTTTGACCCCGCATTCAAATAGAGATTCAGAGATTATTTTATTTTTAATAGATATATATATATTTTTTTTTTAAACTCACACACACTTACCGTTTATTTATTTATTTAAATTATATATATATATATATATATATATATATATATTTATTTTTTAACAGACACACACACACACACACAGGCTGTTTGGTTTATTTTATTTGTAATATTTTTTTTAACAAACACACACACACAAACGCTTACTGTTTTATTTATTTATTTAATTAAAAGGTTTTATATTTTCTTTAACACAAACACACATCCGCTTTCATTACTTTACACTTTAATTACTACTGCTAACTGCCTGGGAGCGTCTGCTTATCAAAGCTTCTACACCTTTCCAAATCCCAAAGAGCCTCTTGTGGCCAGTAAAGCATCTCGTGCAGTTCCTCCTCTTGACTGACGCCTCTCGGCAGGTACAGGCACATCGTGCAGGTAGATGCGTAGGGCAAACGGCGCAGGCCTGCCTCCTGTTCATAGAAGTCGACGGAGGGCTTCCTGGGAAAGCCCAGGGGAGGAACCTCGTCTGCTCCAGTGGTGAAAATCAGAAGGTCTTCGAATTTGAGGTCAGTCACTTTGTCTATCAGAAGAAAACGTAAGCATCTAAGTGACATTTTCATTTTTAAAATCAAATGTCAAACTTTACAAGATCAGAACTGTATTTCCTTTAATCACAAATGTAGAGAATATAAACCTGACTGGCTTCAGAGTACAGTCACTGAGACACAAGGTACTTTTGATCACGTCTAAATGTGTACCTTGTTGTAATGGCTTTGGTACATTGGCGTAAGATCATTTTCCTAAATTGGTAAAACACTTTGTATTTTCTTTCTGTCACAGTACATTCATGGATGTTTGGTTTCATAATTAGTGCTCTAACATTTTCATAAAGGAATAAACGTACCTTCAATCATGTTAAGCACCATCTCCCAGCAGTAGATGGTGTCCTCCTCTGCCTCGCGATGGTTGCTGCCTCTCCTGCTGTAGTTGTAACTGAAGAGGGCCTTGAAGGCTGCCTTTGACATGGGCTCCTGCATGTTGGTGAACAAAGGCAGGAAGGCAATCCAGTTCTTCCTCACCAGGTCCCACAGCTTCCCGAATGCATTCATTCCGTCTGTGAACTGGAGGATCATCTTGGCCGTTCTGTAAAGCGACAGAGATAAAACATGTACATCACCGTGCACAAGTTTGGAATCACACCACAAATTGTGGGAAAGACTGATCAACCGCATCAAAATGATAATGACACTGTTTCTTAATTATATGTTTACAATGGCTCTCCAGTTTCAGTGGCCAACCCAGGACAGAAAGAGAAGAGAGAACCCAGGAGCACACCTGCACAAGAGGTCCAGTACATCTGTCTGCTGTTTGACAAACAATACGCAAATGTCCAACTGATCCTCAGCTCACAGCTTCTCTTTCTGTCCTGGTAATTTGCAACATCAACATAATTTTTATGATTTCTTTGATGCTATACTGGGGAATAAATGTATCAAACTCTGACCCAAACCAAAAAATAAGTGCAGAAACATACATTTTTTTTATATTGACAGTGTTTTGTAGTAGTTACAACTGTAAAATGTGTTTACCTGAGAAAGATGTAGTGCTTCACTACATATGCGTAGACTTTTGGTATGTCTTCAACTGTGGCACTAAATACGCTTGGGACGCCGCACTCTGCAATCCAGTCCCCCAGGTCTTGCTGGAGCTGAGTCAGGTCCCCTGCAGTCTTGCACTGTAGGATCTTGGACAGAAATCTGAGTGACAATAATGTAGCAGGAGTCCCAGATTGAGCAAGTGTTTGTCCTGCTAGACATTAAATGTTCTTTTGTCAACAGCGACCCAAAGTAAAAGAAATGTTTGTTTAAAATCCAAATAAATATTCACATGATAATTACAAAGTACCCTGTTGACTTTGCTTTGCACATCTGGGTCAGGGAGCACACGCCAGTCAAACTGCTCCAGCGGAGGCTCCTGTCCGCACATCAGCTGGAAGAGGCTGGGGTCCAGGGCTCTGATACACGGACCTCCGTGGGCAATCGACCAAGCGATGAGGTTGCCACCTCTGAAATATTTACGCTGGTCTAGTGCTGCTTGGTCGTAACTAAGAAAGAGCTGGCCGGCCTTTCCCTCAAAAATGCCCAGGGAGGTCTGTACCTCTATCATCAAGAGTCTAGAGTAAATGGACAGAAAAGAGAAATACAGCGATGTGTATTACTGTGCAGCTCCCCATGCAAACATTTGTTCTAAAACACTGAAGAAATTTAGTTTAGGTATTCTGACCTGAAAAACTCTCGCTGCGGTCCCCCATATCATCTGCGTCTTCTCCTACAAACTCAATAAGTGGTGAGTGGGTCCAACAGAAAGCGTTTCTGGAGATGGCTTTAACGGCACTCTCCAGAAGCTTTCTCCTCCTGACACAAATGGTGGATACCAGGCCGTGAGAAAGGTGATCCTCTTGAAAAGTCCTCAAAATGATGGCAAGATCCACATCTTCCTAAAATACATCAAATGTAAAAAGTACGTCAGAAATGACTGGCAAAAAGGTTGGTCTGGTCTTTGAATTTCCTTTTTAAATAGTGGCAATATCTCATTCTTTTATTATAGTGTATGTGTAATGTATTGTGTCCTTAAAAATTACATATAAACGTAAACTATTCTCCCAGTTGAATGCAGTGTAAAAAAATTTAACTTACCGACGGAGGACTGTCACTTTCAAATGGAACTGCAATAATGTCGTCCTCCTCCGCTTCCTCAGGGTCCGCAATAACAAGGTCATTGACAGGAGTCCTAAAAGCTCAGATTTTTTTTATTTGTCAGCGTCAGTATTACATAGTCAGGCCTTTTTTGGACCCAAATGTCTTTGCAGACTACTGGTCTTGGTAATCTACATGCGTATTCTGATATTCTCTGTCAAATTTAAAGATGAGTATTGAGACTGTTTATGTGAATGCAGTGTCACACACGGTTCCTGTTTGTAAACCTATGACAGACCTGTTGAGTGGTTCCATACGGGCCCTTCTGTAAAAGACCTAGAAGGTACAAATTGTGCATGAAATGAAAATGTCTCAAAATATCAATATTTGCTAAACATCCTAAATGCGACTTATCACAGAACTAAAACTTACCTCTGGGGTGCCAGCGTTCACCCACTGTGCAGGATCCAAACTTGCCTCCTGTTGGTTGACAAGAATGACCATTTACATATTTCACTGAGGTTAGCTTTGAAAACTAAACTAAAGGATGACTTTTTAACTAGGATTTTAAGATTACTCTTTACTTTGGTGTGAATTATCAAAAGTACATACAAATGTATTATTGCTTTACAATAACTTACGAGTGATGGGTTCGTGTCTGTCCTCGGTGATCCCGCATCACTGTCCATCGTCGAAGACAGGGACATGACGCTAAGGGGAGGGGACTGGGAACTTGCACTAGATGTGACCGGTGGCATGCCGATGGGTGCTGTAGGAGCAGGCGGTGTGACCTGGGGGACAGCGGGTGAGGCCGGAGGTCTGATGGCTGATGGTGCGGGGAACAGGGCTGGACCTACATGAATTGCTGGGGGGCAGCAGGTGAGACTGCAGATCTGATGGCTGATGGTGAAGTAGTGGGTGTGGCCATTGGTGGTGTGGATGATGAAGAAGCAGGTAGAGACTCAGGTCCATCAGGTGGAGATGTTTCTGGCAGGGTACGAGTTCTTTCAGGTCCTGGGATCTTGACGGACAAAACAAAAAGCCTGTTTAGTAACTATCATCAGTGTGCTAACATTAAAAGGAGTGCTGGCGAGAAAATACAACAACAACTCACCTGTGGCAGTGTAATATTGGTCTGGGGAATAATATACACCCTGCTTCTGCCAACTGCTGTCCTCACCTCCTCCAGTGTATTTGCCTGAATTTTACTCAGAACCCTGGACTTGTCAGCTCTGGCGAGATGAAATCCAATTACATTCAGGCTAACTGTGGGAAAGCTTTGGCAAATGTAATTATTAAACTCTGGGAGAGTCCAGGAAAGTTGTGCATAACATCTTTGTGAGCCTTCCCCTGGCAAATCATGACTCGGGATCCCTGTCAAATTCAAAAAAAAAATAGTTGTCAATAAATCAATACAATGACTCAATCATTTACTTCTTTTCACTAGTTAATGACCTCGATTCAAAGCGTTATTGTGTCTTGAAGGTCATGAACGATAAACATTGCTGTATTTGTTATGATTTGAGCACATGATGTCAATATGCGTGACATAATGTATATACAAGGGCGGCTGTGGCCCAGGAGGTAGAGCGGGTTGGCCGTTAATCAGAAGGTCAGCGGTTCAATCCCTGGCTCCCCCTGGTTGCATGTCGAAGTGTCCTTGGGCAAGATACTGAACCCCGATTCCGCCAGTGTATGAGTGAGTGTGAATGTTAGTTTCCGTTTGAGCACTTAGGCTCAGTGTATGAATGTATGTGATTGGTGAATGCAGATGTAGTGTAAAAGCGCTTTGAGTGGTCGAAAGGACTAGCTCTTCATAAGCATTGGATTTTTAGGGTGTTTGCTTCACCAAATCAGTCAGGGCAAGTCCTGCTGAATATGGAAAAAGTCCTGCTGAAAGTGTAAAATAAACAAATCTTTAGTTTTGCTGCAAAAGTGCAGCACACTGATTGTCATATCCAGCACTTGCAAATCCACAATAATGTAAATAGGTTTGCATTTTCCGTGTAAATAAAGACACAATACAATTCAAGTGCATGTTGGCATTCAGAACCTATGCATATTGTACATTACCTAAGCCCACTCTGGTTAGTTTTCTGCATTCTGCATGAGGCGGAAGGACAATTTGGTCAGCATTTGGCAGCAGGAAGAGCTTCACTTTCCAAACTCCACTTGGCCTATTTACAGGTGCTTGTGCTTCTGTACAAAAACAGAAAGTATTACACATTATCGTTAGTTATACAACTGTGGTAGAACATGTAGTCACTGTAATCAAAGTGAAAAGTGAATTTTGCATAATAACATGTTGTTTAAATTCCTCTAATGGAAATAGCCTCGTCCCGTCTGCTCTCCCTCCCTAAACTAACCCGGATTCTGCTGTGGACCTGCTCTCAGGTCAGACTCTCTCCCTCTGGACTCTCAGCTCCGGTCCTCCTGTTCTGACCAGCAGCCACTGACCCGGTTCGGCACGCAGGAATTATTTCACTCTGCCTCAATATCCGATCCCTTCAACACTGCAGTCCTCTCTTAGTCATGGGTCTGCTAACCTATTATTAGGTAATAACCTGCTGTTTTAATCTGCCTATGCTATGAGAAGAAAAGCAAAGGAGCTCTCTGGTTCTCTGTCTCTCACTTGCAGCCAGACTTTGTCCGCCCCCCCCCCCGGCCGCCGTAACGTCAACAATCCGCTGTTTATTCTAACTTAACGAAGCTCAAAATGACAATCTGGACAGCCCTACATTCTTACAGTCACTAGATCAATACACTTAACCTCTCACATTTTGTTGCTAACTTAACTTACTTTCTGTAACTGCCAGCCGCCGACCAGCTGATGGAACAGTAACGTTAGCTTATGCTTAATAAATATAGCTACCGTTCCAACATTAAGTGGAAAATGTCACACATTAAGAACTTGGAAGCCACTTGTGAGTTAGCGGTGACAGTAAAAAGGACAATGCAGACATTGACTTAAACTTGTAACGTTAATGCTAACTACCTGCCATCGGACCCGCTCTTCTTCGCCTCCTAAATGTGCTCCTTGTGGCTCTCAGCAGGTTGTCTTCGTCCCTCTGCGACGCCAGTTCCCGTCTGGCAACATCAAGCGCATTCCAAACGCGATGAACAACATTATTAAAACCGCTTTCTTGTGATGTCTCGCTCATGATCCCAGCGTCTCTGGACGTTACGCAGATGTCTGCTGCCACCTACTGGTTACATTTGACCATGTGAAAAGCGCGCAGAAGCCTCTTCGGCTGCAGGATCAGAGACGATGTGCAAAAACAACATTTCTTGCAGCTTGATTGTGGAGAATGAAATTAAAGTTTGACTTTATTTAAGCTTTTGACAATGTGTCGTGCCATTTGATGATGTTGTCAACAGCAGACATAAATATTTACATCAATGTGTCAAAGCATTTGCAATTTCTCCAAAATAACGGGAAATTGCTTTAATGATGTGCACAAATGACGAGATGATGATGGCGATGTGGAGGCTGAACAAGTTGTTTTCGACAATTTCAATTCAGATCTGAGAAACGTACAAAACCAACTGAGAAAATCTGTAAACTCAACTTACAATTCAGAGCTGGTCCTTTAAGACTCTCCAGCACGCAGTTTGAATATTGGCCAATAAAAATCCTTCTTCCGCCTGCTTCATTTGCATGCGGTCTACTAGTAGTACTAGTAGGCGCAAAAACGTCTACTAGTACTACTAGTAGACACATTTGACCTTACTAGTACTACTAGTAGGCGCTAAAATGTCTACTAGTAGTACTAGTAAGCGCTAAAATGTCTACTAGTACTACTAGTAAGAGCTAAAACATCTACTAGTACTACTAGTAGACATTTTGGCGCTTACTAGTAGTACTAGTAAGACCTAAAATGTCTACTAGTACTACTAGTAAGCATTTTCATTCATTTTGCCTTTAAATTAGTGTAAAATCTTTACTAGTACTACTAGTAGACATTTTAGGTCTTACTAGTACTACTAGTAAGCGCAAAAACGTCTACTAGTACTACTAGTAGGCGCTAAAGTGTCTACTAGTAGTACTAGTAAGAGCAAAAATGTCTACTAGTAGTACTAGTAGACGTTTTTGACCTTACTAGTACTACTAGTAGCGCTAAAGTGTCTACTAGTAGTACTAGTAAGAGCCAAAATGGTCTACTAGTAGTACTAGTTGCACTAAATGCAAATCATGGAACCTTCCTATTGGCTGGCCAGTTTGAATTTCCTGCCGCCAAAATTTAACCCCTTAAAGCCTGATCAATTTTCTGTGTTGTTAACTGCCAGCTCTTTGCTTAATATATTGCAGAATAAAGTGTGAAAATGCATATTTTCATGAATGTTTTATCAAAAGAAATACTGGGAGAGGGAATATCCACTCTGTGATTCGAAATAAATGCCTTTTAAAGATGTAATTACTTAACAGCATTCTGAACAATGAGCAGGCCTTCAGCAGAAAAAGAAACTGTCACATTCACGTTTATCAAAGTTTATAAGACCAGATAAGACTTATTAATCCCGTGGAGGAAATTTAGGTCGAAATAGCAGCACAAAGGAATAAAAGAAGAGATGCAGTATTTACACACTATTTCACCATAAAATCAATAATAATTATTTACAACCATTTAAAACCAGAAAAATGTCTCAGATAAATCAGGCACATATCTGTCAGTTTGGTGCTGTGGAGCCTGATGGCTGACGGCAGAAACGAGCCTCCAAGCGCTTTGAGGCCTGGGGCTGTGGGCTGCATGTGGCTGCAGGAGCTCCTCAGCTCAGCATAGAGAGCATGAGAGGGGTTGTCCCTCATGGTTTCAGCTTCCCCCTGTTATGAAATAGCAACATGCTGATATGTATATGTTTATGCTTGAAGTTTCAACCAGCAGCCTACTCCTTCAACAAACCTGTTTTTAACGGCTCCTCATTGTGAGCATATAATGTTGTCCCAGACTCCTCTAGCTGTCTACAGAGACTAAAGGACTGACAGAAGCATAGACAGATGTTATTTATTGTTATTTAAGTGCTTTAAGTGCTAAAACATAATTTACCTAAACACATGATGTTAAAAACACAAAAAATTTATTATTTTCAGAAGTCAGTTCTCACACTACTACAGGTACGGTATTGGTGGCTGAGAGGCCTAAGTGGAGGAGAGTTTCTGGATTATAAAATTGAAAATCAACAAAAGAAAGGAGCTGGCCTGGGATGTGCACGGCCCAGGCCAGTGGGTGATTTAAAGATCATTGTTGTACTGTATATTGACTGTATATGTCTGATCTGTAGCAAAAGGGAGTTGCAAACAGGATTTTTGTTTACAGCAACAATAAATGACTCCATTTAACTCACTGTAACTGCCCAAGATTAATTCAATTCAATCTAGCTTTATTGGCATGAATGTAAAACAACAATATTGCTAAATTTCCCCCCAAAAACTCATTTTTTACAGTTCATTAATCACTATAAAAAATATATAAAATAAAGTAAATAAACTGTAAAGTGTGCGTGTGTGTTAAATATATTAAAAAAAACAAATCAAAAAAACTGCAAACTTGTGAGAGTGTGTGTGTGTGCGCACTGTCTCATCCATCTTCATTAGACCTCTGTGAGTTGTGTGTGTTAAAATATTAACAATTAAAATGAATCAATTAACAGTACATGTATGTGTGTGTATTGTGGTGTCCGAACAATAATGCTGCGATGATGTGTGAGAAGAAAATCCGCTTGACACTGTTCTTGATCATAAAAGTTTATTACATCAAGGAGTCAGCATCAATTAGAAACTCTGCAGCAGCTTGGAGAGAGACCAGCCCGATGCCACTCTGTCTCTCTGTACATCAAACACAGCTTATATAGGACCTGTTTAGGTATCTTTAGACCCATAGAAGGGTCAGAGTCCGCAAAATAAAGCTCCAACCCATAGAAGGGTACAGTACAAACAAGGGTCAGAGGTCAAATTCCATAGGAGGGTTCACTGAACCTCTTTCCACCTGCTACAGTGCTATTTTAAACTTTTATTGCGTCAAATGCAAATATATTGTACACCACAGTATATTCACATCGACCATTTGCACAGAATGGGGCCTGTGTCAACATGTGAGAGAGGGAGACTGAAACTGCAGGATCCCTGACTGCAAGAGGATATTATTCATGTGTGAACTGATAGAGGCCTAAGAAGCCAACACAATGCCTAACATAATGTACTGCCTAACATGGTACGCTCAGGACAATTAACGTTATTTCAGCATTTTTGCACCAACATTTCTTTTGTGGTTATTGTGAGTTTGCAGATTTGTTTTGTAATTACGAGACAATAGTTCTGAAAGGCCTGAATAATAATAATGAGCCTAATTTAACTTTAAATCTAATTCAGTTTAATCAAACATAAAGTTTATATCACTGCAAGCTGCTAAATATCTCTCTGAAGCTGTTAATGAATGCTGCAGTAGTTTTCCTCATTGCAATTCAGCTTGGTCCTTTAAGGCTCTGCAGCACACAGTTGAAAATTGACCAATCAAAGTCCTTGTCCCGCCTGCTCATTTGCATGCAGTCTAGTAGTACTAGTACTACTAGTAGGCACTAAAAAGTCTACTAGTACTACTAGTAAGCGCAAAAATGTCTACTAGTACTACTAGTAGACGTTTTTCAACCTTACTAGTAGTACTAGTAGACTTTTTGGCGCCTACTAGTAGTACTAGTAAGCGCAAAAGGGCCACTAGTAGTACTAGTAGACGTTTTTTGACCTTACTATACTACTAGTAGGCGCTAAAAAGTCTACTAGTACTACTAGTAAGCGCAAAAAGGCCACTAGTACTA